AATATATATGTGACTTTTCTATGAGCAAATACATCAAATCAAATAAAATAAAACCAAAAAATTAACCAAAAAATAAAAATTATAAAAATTATATAAAAAATTATGTCCAAAGTCCCACCGTGTCCAAAATAAAAACAAAAATCCAAAAAAAAAAAAAAATAATCCTCACAAGTGTAACTTCTGAAAAAGTCAAAGGAAGTGACGAAACGTGTCAGTAACACGTGACGTCATACGCATCGACGTTGACCGGAAGTGCGATCACGGCCATCTTGGAAGTGGGAACATGCGGTTTATGTTTCCCTGAACCTGTCCATGTGTACACTGCTTGTGAGGAGGAGCTGTTACCACGGAATCTTTATGTGAGTTACCAATAAAGAAGAATATCTTTTATATTGTGACTGGTTTTCTGGAGGAAAGTGGAGGAAGTGACCCTAGTCTTTGGAGAAAATCGATGAGAGGAGAGTGTAACCCAGAGTGGTAATCTGCCCTGCTGTTTCTGCTATAGGGTAATTACCCATCCATATTAGAGTTGGAGAGTGGTGATCTGGGTTTTTGGCTATCACCTTTTTTATATATATATATAGGGTGTGGTGTTATACACTAGCAGTGTTATCTGTGGAGTGGTTTTCACACATTGCATTGCATATCCTATGTGAATGTGTTTTCACTCATATTGTCATTTCACTTATCTGTATGTGCTTTGACACCTGTTTTGAGTATACACGTTTAGTTAATATTTTGCATGCTGCACAGTGAGTGGCACGTGTGTTTTATATTATTTAAGGTATGACACTATGTCGAGTTTTTTTCTTTTTGAGGTGTGCGAATATCAGGATTTGCGGGTATTAAGAAGGTTTTGGTGGTGAAAGAAGAAAAAGTTTAAGTTTTTTGTGTTACACTTGTGAGGGTTATTTTTTTTTTTTTTTGGATTTTTGTTTTTATTTTGGACACGGTGGGACTTTGGACATAATTTTTTATAATTTTTATTTTTTGGTTAATTTTTTGGTTTTATTTGATTTGATTTGATGTATTTGCTCATAGAAAAGTCACATATATATTGTTTAGCTGGCCTTCAAGGGTGAAGGTAGATCACTTTTCTGGGATATTATAGGTTTAAGTGTTGTGATATAGAAGTATAAGTAATTCAGGATTGATCAATATTCAGATCTATCCCATAGTTTGTGAACTCTATAACTTTCCTACAAACTAAAAAAAACACATCCTAATTTGGGTTATTTTCACCAAAGACATGTAGCAGAATACATCTCAGCCTAAATTTATGAAGAACAATTATTTATTTGCAAACTTTTATAACAGAAACAGAGAAAAACGTGTGGTTTTTTTTTTTAAATGTTTGGTCTTTTTATGTTAATTTAGCAAAAAATAAAAACTCCAGCGGTGATTAAATACCATCAAAAGAAAGCTGTAGTTGTGTGAAGAAAATGATAAAATTTTAGTTTGGGTACAATGTTGTATGACCGCGCAATTGTCATTCAAAGCGTGAGAGCACTGAAACCTGAAAACTGGCCTGGGCAGGAAGGTGTAAAATTGCCCGGTCTTGAATTGGTTAATGAGCTACTCACGTCCTATTACACTTCCTTGTTTTCAGAGGACCTGATTGATTCTAGAGCTGCTGAGGACTTCCTAGCCTCTATAAATCTGCCTAAGCTTTCCGGATCTAGTTAAGTGCTGCAAATGCTGGATGACATTCGTGCCACTAAACATCTACCCTCAGCTAAAGCTCCTGGACCCGACGATTTTAGTGCAGAATTCTATAAATTGACTTCGGAATTCATCCCAGATACTCTGTATCACATTTACAAGGAAATGTGGGAGAATGGCTCTTATCTCCCAACTGGTCCCAGGCACACATTAAACTCATAGCTAAGAAGGGGAAAGACCCACTGCTTACAGTATCATACCGACCTATCTCTCTAATTAATGTAGACACCAAAATACTCTCAATAATCGTGGCGTCCAGGTTGGCCCTACTGCTCCCAAACATATTACATTCAGCTCAATCTGGGTTTGTGCCGGGTTGCTCAGCAACATTTAATATTCGCAAAGTACTATTAGCCCTGGAATATGCTAAAACCCACCCTATGCTTGATCTGGCACTTATATCTTTAGAAGCTGAAAATGCCTTCGACAACATAAGCTTTACCTGGCTCTTCATGGTCTTGAGGAGGCTTGGTATTTCAGGCCCCATTTTGAACTTCTTATGACACGTGCTCTTCACCTACAGCTCGATTAGTCACCTCTGACTTTATTTCCTCGGACATTCCCCTAACCAAGGGTACTAGGTAGGGTTGCTCGATCTCCCCCCTCTTTAACAGACTACTTAATTTGACATCAGGGGCCAGTGGTGTCACGATTGGTGAACACACTCTCCACTCAGCTCTTTTTGCGGACAATATATTATGGTTTTCTTCAGATCCACCAAAATATTTCCTACTACTTCAGAACCTGTTTGTGATCTTCTATAAATGCTCTGGCCTAAGAATTAATTTTGATAAGAGTGAAGTACTCCCTCTAATTTCTACTGCCTCAACGCGCTGGATCCCTTCCTCTCACTTTACTATAGCTAAACACTCAATTACGTATTTGGGCATTCATATAGCCAGAGAACCATCGTTTTCCTACTACCTTAATTACCCCCCTCTAATCAACAAGATTGTATAAGAACTGGAAGCTTGGACAGCTCTTCCCCCTTTCTCTCTTTGGGAGATGCTGTCTCTACAAAATGGTTTCATTTGTGAGATTGCTCTATCCTTTACAAACACTCCCTCTTTATGTTAAAAAATTCCGATGTTCAGGAGATTCATAAGGCCCTAAAGGCCATAATGCCTTCCTATGGCAGTGCAAAAAAGTGTATTGCATTACAAAAGCTAAGTCTCCCAAAGAGTGAGGGGGGGTGCAGGTCTACCGAATATTAAGTTTTACAACTTGTCCTGACTTCTTCATCAGAGTATTGATTGGATTGCTCACAAATCACGTTCCTCGAATTACTCTTTGGAGGAGGCCCTGGTGTCTGTACTACATCTTCCAACCATTCTGATCTTAAGGCCCTACCTAGACCTCTCCAATTGAATCTCCTGATCAGAGACACCGTACTGGCCTGGAGGGAAAGACAGAGACTTCTTTGCCTACCACTATGGATATCTTCCTATCTGCCTATCCTAGGAAACCCTATGTTCCCTCCAGCAAGTGAACATGCAGCATTTACCCACTGGTCTCAGAGGACTTTCTAAAGTTATCTCCATCTTTGATGATACTAAACATTCCTTTCAGCCTTTTTAAGAACTAGCTGTCAAATATTCTTTACCCGGATCTCATATCTTTTACCACCATCAGTTGGTGACCTTCCCCAGGACGTGCTATTCCCCAAAACAAAATCCTTTCCCTCGCTCCCTTATAGAAATTCTACTGCAACAAGACCACTACTCCATCTCAGCTATCTACTCTCATCTAATCTCTCACCAGTCTGCAAAATACCACCTTACTCCATTTAAGCCGTGGACCCCAATACTGTCTAATGATGAAACTCCGGATAAAATACTGTCAAGATACAGGAAAATTTCTTCACTTGTTCTCTGAGAAACATGGCATGAAACTTAATTCAAAATCATCCATAGAGCTTACTATCCTTTCTTAGCGAATCCAGTTGTTGCTGCCTGCCCAACATGTGACTACACTCAACCTACCCTGTTTCATTGTCTATGGGAATGTGCCCGAGTTTCTACCTTCTGGGATCGAGTTCTTCGGTACATTAATCAATTATATAATGTCTCTCTCTCCAAAGATCCTATGCTCTGTCTCTTCAATAATCAAGACCCTGCGATGTTGACACAGCCTAACACTCTTCCCCAGTGGATACATATTTGTTTTAGTGGCTCACAGAGCTCTCATGCAAGCTTGGATACATCCAAACCCCCTACAGCTCAAAACGGTTATACAAGCATTAACTGCCTTATTTATTATGGAGAAGCTAGAAACCATTACTAAGAACTTCAAGTCCGCACGTTACTTTATCTCAAGACGGAGGCGCTTCCTGGAACATTCTTTTATAGTCATATAGCCTGCTCTGTGTCCCGTGATGTACGATAAAGAAATTGTTTTTTTTTTTCTACATACTTACCCGTAAGATCCATTTTTTGGAGTACATAACGGGACACAGAGGTCCCACCCCTCTTTCTGGAGTGTCAATGCTTGCTACAAAAACTGAGGTACTTCCTGTATAGGAGGGGTTGTATAGGGAAGGACCTCCTCTCTGGTCGGCCAGTATCTATTAACCTATAGGTGGCCTATAATCCACATAGTCATGAATAGCCTGCTCTGTGTCCCGTGATGTACTCCAAGAAATAGATTTTACAGGTAAGTATGTAGAAAAAATCCAATTTTTACTAAATACCAGACCGCATCTCAACCTCTGCAGCACTTGCTTGCTGTGGTGGGAAAACTTAGTACTGAGACTAGTCCTGTGCTGCTACGGACAAAGCTGTTGGCTGGAAATTAAAGAAATATTATATTAAATTTCTTTTTCCAGGTAAAAAAAAAATGTGCATTTACTATCTTTTTCGTAGGAGCCTGGAAGATCACGAGTGCAATGTGAGGCTTCTGCAGACTGTCAGTGTATCTGTCTGCTTGTACTTTTGTATGGAAGAATCAATGACTAGAGTGTTCACCAGTAGCCTGGTAGTTCATTGAGAAACGTGTAGAATATATAACATGCTCCCAAAGGTGAGCCTATCCTTTAACCCCAAACACAAATGTAATATATTGCAGCATACCAATCTTAGATGTAGTGGCTGCAATTGTATTTTTGTTTTGTTTTTACTTAATTTCACCTGGTGAGCCAGCCAGTAACCCACCTCCTGTCTTTAGGTACCTACATCCTTTATGACAGGGCTTAAAATTTCAAGTCCTGAGCTACTAGCCAGGCCTTAGAGTTTTTTGCCACCAACAAACACACACAGAGACACCTGTACACACACCCAGACATGTACATACACACATATACACACACAGAAATGTACACACACGCACAGAGACACATGTACACACACAGATACATGTATACACACGTAGGCACGTACAAACACGCATACACACAGATACATGTACATACACAGAAATGCATAGACGTACATACACACAAACACACACACATACATGTACATACACACAGACACATGTACAGATACACAGACACATGTGCAATTGTACATGCATACACAGACACACACACATGTACACGTACACACACACACACACACCACCCCCCCCATAAAAAGTACTTCGTTGTTCACTCACAGATCTGGGTACTGCACTCTAGGGGGAGGCAGAGAGCACAGCACACGCTCCTTGCTTTGCTTTCACTGCGCTGAGCTATTGAGCAGTCTGACGGCTCCCAGTGCCAATGACAGATCCGGCCTGAGCTTCAAGCTTGCTCAGCAAGACGGCCCTGGGGAACACACTCGCCCCCACCATAATTTCCACTCCATTGGTGAGCAGGCGAGTGGAAATTTCTTTATGAGGTAGTTGAACAGATGCATTTGGACAGTAGTATTGTCAGTCTGGGGACAGTGAAGTGTTAGATATACTAGCAGATTTTGATTTTATAACCAAAAACTGTTGGGCTGAAAACACCTTAAAGCGGAGTTCTGGCCCCAGCCGCCCCCCCCCCCCCCAAAAAAAAAAATACTGTAGCTCCTGCTTTTTTATATTAGGGCATTTACTTGTCCAGGGATCCAGCAGTATCGTCACCCCAAGCCGATTCTTCAATCGGCTGTCAGGTGCTGGCAGCGCTATCTTGACTAAGGGAAACTGTCAATGAAGCCTTGCGCCTTCACCTCCGGTTTCCTACTGCGCATGTATGAAGGGTGCTATGCTTTTTTTTTTTTTTTTTTTTTGAGAAAAATTTTATTAGGTTTTAACAAATTACAAACATAAAGAAATAATGACACAGTTATAGTACCCATGTGACATCAAGTCTAACTAGGTGCAGTAGTGTGACAAAAACCGAACACAGCCCTAAATCGGTAATGATAGTCGCTAGAAGTGGGCGCTATTTCAATACTATGATATACTAATCATGATGATAAACAAGTAGGAAAAGTAGTATGGGAAGGTGTGAAAGAAGAGGTTCGTGCATGGGGAAAGCAATAGCATCCCATCGGGATTATACAATCCAATTATGAGCTGACGCTGGTGTAACTTGCCAGTATCTAATGTTAAGTAATGTCAGTGTACATAGACGTCCACAGTAGACCGCCCATACCGTGTCCAAAACACAATACAGGAGAGAACAACTGAGGAATTAGTTGGCAGGGATAAATAACAGTGGGAAAAGGGGCAGGAGAAGAAAGAAGAGAAAAGAAATGAGTAGGAAAGAAGGGGGGGGGAAAGTTTGTGAAGAATCAAAGAGGGCAAATAATGAATATAGCGAGCGCTCAGAAAAACCAGCTGCTAGAACACTTCAAGGGATCACTAAAACCTCATAGTAGAGACATTATACATATATATATAGTGCAGCGCTGAAAATGTAATAAAAAAATAAGATATATAAAATATATAAAAGTCTTTCTCATGACAATAAAGTCAAATATGTGCAGGTCTTCTCCTCATTAGGTGACTGGAAAATAACAAGATTGCGCACTCACCGACCGCACATTTAAAATGCGCCTGTGTATGATATATTCCAAAAGACCAGCCAGGTATACAGCTCCAGAGACCACACGAATCCTCCCTCTTCCACACTCTCATCCGCCTTGGGTGTAGCAATATCTCCAGATCCAAAGGTAGAAAGACAGAGATCCCCCTTTTTTGGTTCCAGACACCCCAAGAATGGAAGATGTATATCTGCACTCTCCAACAGGAGAGTCAAAGAAAAAGGGGAACGCCAATAGTGTGGTACTATCAAAACTTTATTGGAGCAATAATGCCTGGGTCATATGCACACACATATCCATACACCATAAGCCAATAACGGACAGGTAAGTATGAAAGGAAATTGTACTAACCCGGCAATGGCATAAAAACAAAGACCACTAGACCTCCTCTTGGTCTCAGTGGTCTGGAAGTCACACTTGCTACTTGGCTCCTCCTGAGGCCTTTCGTGCAAAAAGCACTTCTTCAGAGGATGGACGCCACAGAGTGGCGTCCATCCTCTGAAGAAGTGCTTTTTGCACGAAAGGCCTCAGGAGGAGCCAAGTAGCAAGTGTGACTTCCAGACCACTGAGACCAAGAGGAGGTCTAGTGGTCTTTGTTTTTATGCCATTGCCGGGTTAGTACAATTTCCTTTCATACTTACCTGTCCGTTATTGGCTTATGGTGTATGGATATGTGTGTGCATATGACCCAGGCATTATTGCTCCAATAAAGTTTTGATAGTACCACACTATTGGCGTTCCCCTTTTTCTTTGACTCTCCTGTTGGAGAGTGCAGATATACATCTTCCATTCTTGGGGTGTCTGGAACCAAAAAAGGGGGATCTCTGTCTTTCTACCTTTGGATCTGGAGATATTGCTACACCCAAGGCGGATGAGAGTGTGGAAGAGGGAGGATTCGTGTGGTCTCTGGAGCTGTATACCTGGCTGGTCTTTTGGAATATATCATACACAGGCGCATTTTAAATGTGCGGTCGGTGAGTGCGCAATCTTGTTATTTTCCAGTCACCTAATGAGGAGAAGACCTGCACATATTTGACTTTATTGTCATGAGAAAGACTTTTATATATTTTATATATCTTATTTTATTACATTTTCAGCGCTGCACTATATATATGTATAAAATCAAAGAGGGCAGTGTGGAAGTGGAAGCGATGAGACAATTTGGCCTCAAATCAGTAAGCCCCCAGGAATGGAGAGGATTATACTCGAAGGTGTAGAGATAGTATAGAGAAAAAGAAAAAGAAAAAAGAGACGAGACCAAGGGACCGAGATATGGAAAAAGCAACAAGATACAGGTCAGCGATCAGATAGCTTGCATATGTATCAATGTATGTTAGTACAGGTTCCACCTTGGTTGATGTGATGTGATGTGGTGTGAAAAGTGTCATCTGCCAATCGGCTAATGAAGGTCAATTGTGTAAGAACAGTGTCGAGTTTATAAAGGATCGTAGATCAAGAAAGTGTTTATGGAATCGGAGTACATGAGAATATGGAGATTAGAGATGGACATAAGGAATTAGATAGGTAACCAATGTACACAGCCGATTAACAAATAAAGTTATAGCGAGTCCTTGTCTGGGTAAAGAAAGCCTGCTCCTGTATGGATAGTGAGCCTGTAATATATGAGTTCCATTTTCTATAGTAATTGGATTCCTTTGATGTAGTCAGAGAGGTGATTAGGTGAAGCCTGTCCAGGCGTAAGAGAGTGTTGAGTTCTTGCTTGACCCCCGTTATGGTTGGGGGGGAGTCGGAGACCCATTGACGGAGAATGAGACGTCTTGCGATTAAAAGGCAGGTTGATATCCAGGATTTATTGTCTCTGAAGGATGATGTTTGTGAAGAAAAAAGGCCAATGATTGGATGTTCCAGAAATCCGAAGAGCAGCGGCAGCGGGTGGATGGGTAAGCAGAAAGCTGTAATGACGGATATGAAATGAACCACTTGCTGCCAGAATGCCAAAATAGGGGGACAGGTCCACAATCTGTGTTGTAGGTATGGTTTTTGAATTCCACACAGAGGGCAGGTAGACAGGGCCGGGTCTGTTTTAGAGTAAAGACATGGTACGTAATCACGATGTAAAATCTTGAGCTGTTGTTCACGCCAGAACTCGTTACTATTGAAGGCACAAGTGGATTGAAAACCTGAAAATAGTTGGTCTGCTGTAATTGTATTATTGAAGTCCTTGATCCAGGATTTTGCTGTATTGAATGTCTCTAAAGGCTTGGTAAAAAGAAGATTCAGCGAACTATATATGTTTGAGATGTTGTATTTGCGAGAGATCGCTAAGACGTCGATAAATGTCGATTAAAATCTGGTAGATTTAGTGGGGGTATAGAATTAACAAAGTTCCTTACTTGTAGTATGTAGAAGAAATGATGTGCCGGAAGTCCATAGGTTTGTAGAATACTATCAAGAAGTTTTGGGGAACCTGTAGAGATGTCATATAGTTAGTGTACCAAAGTCAGTTGTTGAGATCGCCAAGTATCATATGCGTCGTGAGATTGAGGGGGAGGAAAAGAGGGGTTATGATGAATAGGAAGGAAGCGTGAAAGCCAAGGAGAGACCCCCAATTTTTGCCTGACTTCCCTCCATGTAATAAGGGTGTCTCGGATGAGTAGGTTATGTTTAAGTGGGGCGGCAGAGAATTAACCTTGGAGTGCAATAGGGCCGAAAGATCATACGGAAATGCTAGTGCAGATTCTAAGTGATAATTAGAGTATTTGGAGGATTGGGTGAGCCAGTCTAGTCCTATACGAAGTAGACAGGAAAGATTGTAAATGCGAATATTCGGGAGCCCAGAGCCTCCCTCACATCTAGGTAGAAACAGCTTGTCCAATGCTATACGGGGACGTTTGCCTTTCCATAAGAAAGTCGATATCGCCCTGTTCAGCCTCGCTATGTCCTTGTGTTTGAGCAAAAGAGGTATGGTTTGGAGTGGGTAAAGGAGTTTCGGAAAGCTGACCATCTTGAAGAGATGTGATCTGCCCAGGAGGGAAAGTGGTAATTCCTTCCACATGTCCAATTCCCCAATAATCTTTGTAATTGTTGGCGTATAATTTAACGTATATAATGATGAAGCAAGTTTCCCTATCTTTATACCTAAATAGGTAATATATTTGGGAGCGATTTTGAATTGCGAACTTCGAGTCCATACCGGAAGGCGGGAATGGAATAGCGGAAGCACCTCGCTTTTTGAAAAGTTAATACGGAGTCCGGGGTATAGGCGGAAGGAAGAGAAGATATGTTGGATATAGGGCAAGTCAAGGGAGGGGCTTGAAAGTAAAAATTAAGATATCCGCAAACAGCGCGAGTCTCAACTCTTCTTGTCCAATATTGATGCCATGTAGATCAGATTTAGACAATAAGAAGCGAGCTAGTGGTTCTAGAGCTAGATTGAAAAGTAGCAGGGACAGTGGGCACCCCTGTCTTGTGCCTTTTATGAAGGCAAATAGGGTTAGATATGTGACCTGCTGCTACAACTCGGGCTGTTGGAGATGAGTACATGGTGTGAATCAAATGCATAAACGAGCATGCAAATCCAAACCTTCCGAGCGCTAAAAAAAGCCATTCAAAACTAACATTATCAAAAGCCTTTTCGGCGTTTAATGAAACTATTGCCGCGTCTAGGGATGTGTCGGTCGTGGCTTGATTCAAAGCGGATATCACCTTCCGAATATTTGACGCCGCTGATCGCCCTTGTACGAATCCCGCTTGGGAAGGGTGTATAAGAGCAGGTAAGATAGATGCTAGGTGGGATGCTATGACTTTTGATAAGTTTTGCATCTAGATTCAGCAGCGATATAGGACGATACGAGCCCGATTCCAGCGGGTCTTTGTCTTTTTTGGCTATCAATTTGA